AGGCAATTAATTATTCTGATCTTTTAGTTTAGCATCAACAATGAATACAAAATAAAGATACCCCATGTCCTGAAAAACTTGAGTAAAAGATTAGTTATACCCTAATTTATAGGGCTGAACAGTGACACAAAAGTTGACACAAACACCAGCTGTGTTTATGTCTTTATAATTTTTGAAGGGTCAATTAAGTTAAATACTTAGCTGAAAGGATTATTTTATTATACAATGTTTTAAGTAAATGAGACTTAGGTCTACACTGGAGATCTTACAGCAGCACAGCTGTACCAGTGCAGCTGCACTGCTGTAAGATCTCTCACTTATCTGTGCCAACAGGATAAAGCTCACCCTATAACACATTTAAACCCAAGGAGTGGCAGGCAGTAGCTATTAGCACTAAGTACACTGCCATTTATGATGTCAAAACTTATGTCATTCATGGAACTTTTTTCACATCCCTGATTAAATTATGACAATATAGGTGGTAGAGTAGGCATGACCTCCCCTCCCCCCCCCCTTCTCTGTTTTAGAACTGAATAAGATGCAATGTATGTCTACCCTGCAAAGTTCACTTGAGTTAAGGACACTTGAGATACTCCTCTTGCTTAGCCTATCTTGAATAATTGAAAAGCTTCAGAGGGGTAGCCGAGTTAGTCTATAAAGGATAAATTTAAAAAACAAATAGTCTGGTAGCACTTCAAAGACTAACAAAACATGCAGAGGGTATCATTAGCTTGAAGAAGTGGGTTGTGCCCACGAAAGCTCATGATACCATCTACATGTTTTGTTAGTCTTTAAAGCGCTACTAGGCTATTTGTTGTTTTTTAAGACTTCTACAGGGATATTTCTAAAAGCTCTTTGCACCAGAATAAACTGAGCCACTCTATGAATTAGTTCCCCATAGATTGGATATGAACTTGTTTATCCTTTCTGGGAATATAGAGGAATTGAGGGCAGGTATTGGAAGACTAGCTGCATATGAATGGAGCTAGTCTGCATCCACATGACAGAATGGGTTTGTTAACAGCTAACAAACTATGCTAATTCCAGCTTTTGCCTATGTCAGACACACCAGACAACCTGAGTTAAAAGCATCATTGTATTTGAGTTAAGGAAGTGTGTGCAGATGGGACTTGAGGTACAGTGAAGACAGGGCCTCACGTTCCTAAGTGCAAAACTTTGAGGATGAGAATGAGGCAAAAATTTTCTCTTTATATACTGGAGCTAAATGTTATTAGGCACTTTACAAACAGTAACAAGACAGAATCCCTGCCTCAGACAGCTTATTATCTAAACAGCCATCATACAAATAATGTGCAATAAAACAGGAAGTGATGAGGTTCAGCATACATTTAATTAGCTCAAGGATACACACATTTAATTTTCACTATTTCATTTACATTTCTTTGCTGGGGCCAAAGCTTAAAACAATACTTGTTCAAAAAACTGAGAAGAATATTCTGAGACTGTACTACAAATCATGCATCTTTCAAATTTGGATTCTTCCTTTCATTGGGTGCGAAAGGAGGCCAATGAAATTATTTTTTATAGTTCTGAAAGGGTCTCTCAGCAAATAAGGGTTTTTTTTAATTTATGAAAGCCTACTGAACATCTTACTGCATACTGAAATGAAAGTGCTGCAGAATAGTGATCCAAGTAATTTGCAATAAAACAGCACAATTTACAGACTGTAAAAGAACGGCAGCACTTTTATTAGTTTCAGGTAGTTTGTTAAGATGCTAAATTCACTGCTGCCAAATCATAGCTTTTTGAAACTTTGCTTCCATTCCCCAGCTATAAAATAGTAATAATGCTAGTCAGGCACCTCAAACAGCAATTGAGAGGGTTCATTTATTAATGTTTGTCCTAAACACGGGAAGCTCTATTCATGAACTTAACAGCAGTTTAGAGATAAGGGAAGGTTCAGATGCGAGAGGTTATGGCACCCTGCTCCCTATACTCACTTCTCCCAGGCAGCACACTGGGTTTCCCTCGCTAGGATCAGCAATAATTATTGGAAGTAAAGTAGGCTGAAAATGTAACCATGGAGAGTCTTGATCGCCCACCCATTCCCAGAAGAAGAGATAGAGGGAAAAAATCTAGATCCCAAGTGTCCTCACACTGGGGATGGGAGGAGCAGTGAAGCAAAAGAAGCTGTGACACTGCTGAGGTGAATCACTCAGGGGAGTACAGTCCTAGCAATAATAATAATTACAGGTAGGGATGTAAAATCCCAGTTAACCACTTAAATGTTACATTTCATCGGTTAATCGCTCAACCAGGATCCCGAGGCATGGTGGGCCCAGCTGGGCTGGAGCAGACATGCACCCATGGTGCAGTCGGCCCAACTAGGTGTGGTTCAGGTGTGTGTGTGTGGGGGGGGGGATTGCTCCATGCTGCAGATAGGTGTGTGTGTGGGGGGGGTTCTCCAGCCCAGCTGGGCCACCAGTTATAATCCCTAATTATAGGTGGACTGACATGGGTGGCTTTTGGACATATGTTGAGTTCAGCCACACTATCAAATCATAATATTTAAGGCCAAAAGGGGCCACCTGGTCCTCCAGTCTCACCTCCTGCACAGATTAGTGTTTAGATCTCCGCAGTGCTGGTAAACACAACCAAAATTAGACCAAAGAGTTACAGCCCATAGCCGATTAAACTATTATGTGCCACAGGCAGAGATTCAGAAGGACCAAGGTGCACCAATGCCCGATTGGCCTGCAATGACAAGGAAATGATTGACACACACCCAGATAATCGTGGCAAGTCACCTGTGCCCTGTGCTGCAGAGGAAGGTAAAACACCACCACCTCTTCTACAAGGTCAGCTGCCAAGTAGCCTGGGGAAAAATTCCTTCCTGACCCCACATGTGGTAATCAGTTAAACCTTAAATATGAGCGTTAGAACCAACCAGCCCCTCAGAAAGAGAGAGAATATGCTCACTATCACCTCAGAGTGCTGATTCTCCCAGTCTAATATTCCATCCACAATCATGACTACCCCATCCTTCAAAGGACGATAATTAAAAATACATATACAGTAGAACCTCAAAGTTATGAACACTAGAGTTATGAACTGCCCAGTCAAGCACACACCTCATTTGGAACTGGAAGTACAGAGGCAGGCAGCAGCAGACACACAAAAAACGAAGAAACAAAACAAAACACAACCCACCATCACCACTAGCACACACATAATTTTTTACATGTAAACTACTTTAACCAGGGGAGGGGTTAAAGACCTGACAAGATAAGGAAACTGTTTCTGTATTTGTTTCATTTAAATTAAGATGGATAAAAGCATCATTTTTCTTCTGCATAGTAAAGTTTCATAATTGTATTAAGTCAATACTCTGTTGTATACAAACTTGAAAAAAACACCATAAAGTTTTGTTCAGTGTTAAAAGTTTTCAGGAACCTCCATTCCCAACGTTTTAGTGTACATACACCAGGGGTAGGGAACCTCAGGCTCAGATGTGGCCCCTGGCTTGCCTGGATCTGGACTCAGGGCTCCCCCTGGCATTGGGGAACCCACACTAATGCTCCAGCCCCCACCCCCGCTGCCTCCCTGTGGGGCTGGAGCACACAACTGCTACTATCCTGGTCTTCTCCCCCCCCCCCCACTCCCCACCACAAGGCTGTGTTGTGCAAAGGGAGTGTGGGGAGTAACTTTCTCCTTCTCACTCAGGGGCCACATCAGTGAGAGTTTATTTTGAGGGTTTTTTTTTCTTTTGCTTCTCACTTGTGTGTGACCCGAGTGATTTTTCTGTGGGTCACTGGCCCCGATCCAAAAAAGGTTCCGCACTCCTAACATTCACACGCATTAAATTTGGGGAGTATGGAGAGATCCCTTTTTGACACCTGTCACAGGCCCACTAAAACCTTGAGACATGAAGTCCAGGAACAAAAAACATAAACCAGAAGCGAACCTGTCCACCTATTGTCCTGTTTCCACTGAAATGAATTTGCTTGCCCACCTCTATTCCTTCCAGATCCTCATGCCTCTCTTGGCTAGAAACCTTTTTCTAATGCCCAACCCGATCATCCCTTCGCTTATGCGGCCCTTTCTCCTCCCTCGTTTTTCTAGCATATGCACAGAGAGAAAACATATTTCTCCCCCCCCC